GTGTCGATAGTACATAAATATATGAAAGATCTGCGTAGGACTCGCTTCAACCGCAATGTACAAGTTTATATCTTGACACCAGACGTGCCACGACGCCAACGAGCGCTGCCAGTAGCGCCCGACGCGATTGACCGGATGGCTCTGGTGCTCGAGCAGTGCATCCTGCCTCAAGGCGAGACAAGGTATCCCTCTCGCGGGAGGTTCGCGCGATTGCAAGCCAAGCGTTGCCGTTCGTATGACGTGGCAGCTTCAGCAGCCAGCATGGCGAAACCACCGTAGGCGCTATTTCAAATGTACGTCCTTCCAACGCACGACGACTGCGGGATTCGAACCCGCGCGTGGACACAGCGCACTGCTTGGGATCTTGACGTGGCGCCAGCATATTCGCGCCAGCTCGTGCCAGATGGCGCGCTGAGTGAGTAGCGCGCTTGCCGCGTGACGCCACCACCATTCTCTGTTGCGTGCGTCGAGAGGGCGATCCTGTCCAGCGTGATGCCTGCGTATACAAACAGGATGGTGCCACTGCCACAGGACGCACCAGAGCGTGGTAAAGACACTGTATATTCCACTGGATCACGCGAAACCCGCGGCCGTTGGACCTACACTCTGTCGCGGGCCCGATTATCGTAGAATACGCTATTTTTGTATTTTAATGTAGCCCATTCCATGGCTTTATATTGTTATTTGTATGTTAATTGGAAGAATGATGTATTAAAATACGTTTATTTTTAATCCAAGCAACGAGAAAATGGTTTCTTTCCAGCATTTTCATGAATCTTTGGCGATGGCCGAGCGGACGGACGCGCACGAGCCGCGCTGGACCGAGCGCGGAGCGTCCTTCCTCCGACGCATCAACCTCGAGCGCGTGGCCGAAGACCCGCGCGTGCGCCTGCTCGTGGACGGCCAGAGCACCGGCGACATCTCGCTCACGTCGCCCATGAATGCACAGATCCCGGCGCCGTTGCCGCCCCCACCATCGGCCGACGAGCCAGTCGCGAGCTGGTCGCGAGCGCTCAAGGAGTCGATATCAAGCGTCCTCTTTAGCAAAACCAACGACGAACCGATCCTCCACTTTTCGTCGCGCCTCGCCGTGCTCGCGCCGCCGGCCATGCAAGCCGTCACCAAGCTCTTTGGCGCAAAGACGTATACGAGCACGTGGGCGGACGCGCAGCTGGCCATGTCCAACCTCGACGCCGCGATCGCGACTCGCTTTGCCGAGAAGGCGTGCGTCATGGACTGCGGTCTTCTTGACGCGGTGCAACGGACGCACCAAAAGCCGCTCGTGCCCGACACCTTTGCAGGTACCCGCATGCTTCTTGTCTGCGACCGCTAATGTGTCACGCAGGCGGCCGCGTGACGTCGCTGCCCTTCAAGCGTGGCGCGGTGCCGTCGATGCATTCGATGTTTGTCGCGGCGTCGACGGTCGCGTCCTGGCTTGC